AATTGCCGCCTGAGCCGTCCCTTTTTTGCTGCCCTCTCACCTCCCCTCACACATGGCAAAAAACAGACATCTCAGGCGGTAACCTCACTGACACTGAGCCTGATAAAAAATGCAGACTCACTATCACTAAGATGAGCTCCTGACCTCTGCACATTTCCCAAAGGGAGGCACAGTGGCCAGGAGCTCCACTCAGTGATGCTGGACCTGCACTCTCATCAGGTTCAACATCACTGAGTAGTCTCAGACACTCCATTTGCCTGTGTGACAGGTGCAGCAGCTGGGAAGGGTGTTCGGTAGCGATTTTACCAGGCTTGGTGTAAAGCTGTCCATACACCTATATATTATCTGCAGCTTTTCTATGGTCAGATGGAAAGAGTGCAACAGATTCCTCCATCTACACTAAAATGTGTGGATGGTGGAATCTCCCCCTGGGCCAGGCTTCAGTATCTTGCTAGTTGGCCTCGCTGGCTCTCAAAATACATGAACAATCTGATTGGATGCAGGCATTGTTCAGGTATTTTGAGAGCCAGTGTGGCCATCTAGCAAGATACTGAAGCTTGGCCCAGCAGGAGATTCCTCCATCTACACAGTTTAGCGTAGATGAAGGAATCTGTTGCACTTTTTTCCATCTGACCATAGAAAATCTGCATACAATCTATAGGTGTATGTCCAGCTTAACTGAGCTGGACTGAGGACAGAGAGTCCCATGGGCATTTTAGCTCCAGTGCCACACCCTAAAGGGCCTCTGAATGCTGCCGGAGACAGCCACTTCAACTGGCCACATGAAAGGTACAGCCCTGCCCCTGACAGATTATTTTTACCACTATGTGTACTATTGGAGAAATTTCCCTTCACTTCCTGTCCCAGAGACGCAACTGGAATTGAGAGGAAACCTCCCAACGTGAGGGAAATTTCCCTCTTAGACAGTCCCCATACCAGGTGCCCCCAATGAAAAATGTCTGTTTACCTTTTGTTTTGGGGACAACTGTAAAATGTTGTATTTCCCCATACTTTCTGTATCTGTAAAAATAGCAGGGGCAAATTTCCCCCAATGGGGACACAGACAGCAATAAAACCTTAACAGAGGGTCTAACCCTTCAAAAACATTACTCTTTTAACAAGTCTTCAGAAGTGCATTATTTTAGCACAAGATAAAGTAAGCCTTCCAAATAAAAGATGTACCATAAGATAATTTTTTTTACACAGGCAAATGCTGCAACATCACCAGATTGTGATTTTAATATTCTGAACCATCTATTATAATACATATTAAAAAAAAGTAACTCTCTAATTCTAAAACCAAATGAGTTATTTACCAAAATACTAAATTTACCATTTACTTTTGTTATCATGTTTTGTCACAGCTCATTATTATAATATGCTGTTTGTTATGTTTTTTTATTAAAATATTAGCATAAATAAAATGCAAAGATAGCTCCTGAATGGTGTCAGTGGAAATAACCTTTTATATAAAGTGTTTATTCTCTTTTGTAGCAGGCACGTTAACTTTAAATTCTTTGGACGGAAGCTAGCATTCCTCACTTATGTTCCCACTGGATGGAACAATCCGTTTTGAAGCATGCAGACAGAATCCTCATTTAGACTCCATAGGAATGCTAAACCTCACATGATTGCATTTCCACTTCTGTTATAGTTTGGCAGATGTTTCAACAGCTAGGTAACAATTTAAATATTCTGTTAGAAAAACTAGGTATATATTTCAAAATCCTTTAGCCTGAATCATCCAGCCATCTGGATGATAAACAGGTGGTGTGAGATAACAAGTCAAGTGTATCCCCTATTCTAGTTATTAATAGAAGCTTTATAAGGAGGATATAAGAAATATATACCCACATCACATAATTCTACAGCCTTGTTCAACTCAAATTTGAAGAAATACCTTTTAGTCAAAAGACAATATATATGCTACACAAGCCATGTCATTCACAGTCTCATTCATACCCCTTTAATACATTCCTGTGTCAATAATTAATCTTGTGCATGTGTTTTCTTTTTCAGGTACAATCATTTTCAGCAAATACCGGATGATTCTGCCAGTCATCTTCAATGTCTGAATCATTCTGACCACACTAAATATGGAAGTAGATCTGTGTTGGTGTGGTCAGTTTGTGTCCCATAATTTCTCATCTGAGCTAAAAGATGCGTGCCTGCAGCTCCATGATTAGTCTTGCTGAAATGGCCCCTGCCCAGCCATCCTTGTCTTGACTTATGGGTAGTTCCATAACTCGTGCCACTGTCCACCCTATAACAATGCAGCCACATCCCCTGAAAACAAAAGGAATGGGAAGAACAGCCAAAGTAGGGTGGCTACTTTTATTTCCATTGGTCCCTGTGTCTGTTGTAAAGTAGCCAATGCTCCAAGCTGGCTCCCGTGATAGACTATAACTTCAATACAAAGTAGCTAACTAAATATGAGATTGTAGTCCATCACAAGAGTGAACTTGGAGCAGTGGCTACTTTACAACACACACAGGGACCATGGGGAACAAAAGTAGTCACCCTCCAGATAGAACGGTAGATAGAATCTACTGCTGAGTGATACACAAATAAGATACATATTTTTGTTAATAGGTAAGGTACTTGAATACATTTTTAAGATTTAACTTCTGAGATTAGTGTCACTTTAAGGGATCATCTCTAACCCTCCCCCTCTATTTCCAAAACTGACAGGGTTATCCACACAAGGGTGAAGAGTTTGGAGAAGGCAGGAGAAGTGAACAATCTAGGACACCATAGCTGAACAAATCAGTTATGGTGTCCTAGATTGTTCACTTCTCCTGCCTTCTTGTGTATATATATATATATATACACACACACACACACTGGCCACTTTATTAGGCACACCTGTTCAATTGCTTGGGAACACAAATTGCTAATCAGCCAATCACATGGCAGCAACTCAATGCTAGACGTGGTGAAGATGACTTGCTGAAGTTTAAATCGAGCATCACAATGGGGAAGAAAGGGGATTTTAGTGACTTTGAACGTGGCATGGTTGTTGGTGCCAGACAGGCTGGTTTGAGTATTTCAAAAACTGCTGATCTACTGGGATTTTTACGCACAACCATCTCTAAGGTTTACAGAGAATGGCCCAAAAAAGAGAAAATATCCAGTGAGCGGCAGTTGTGTGGACGAAAATGCCTTGTTGATGTCAGAGGAGAATGGGAAGACTTGTTTGAGCTGATAGGAAGGCAATAGTAACTCCAATAACCACTCGTTGAATAGTATCTCTGAATGCACAACACATTGAACCTTGAAGCAGATGGGCTACAGCAGCAGAAGACCACACCGGGTGCTACTCCTGTCAGCTAAGAGCAGGAAACGGAGGCTACAATTCACACAGGCTCACCAATATTGGACAATAGAAGATTGGAAAAACATTGCCTGGTCTGATGAGTCTCGATTTCAGCTATGACATTCAGATGGTAGGGTCAGAATTTGATGTGAACAACATGAAAGCATGGATCTAATCTGCCTTGTATCAACGAATCAGGGTGGTGGTGGTGAGGGTGTAATGGTGTGGGGGATATTTTCTTTGCACACTTTGGGCCCGTGATGCTATCATGTCAATATGGACCAAAATCTACGAGGAAGCTTTCCGACACCTTGTTGAATCCAGGTCACGAAGAATTAAGGCAGTTCTGAAGGCAAAACTTTGGCTGACTGCGGTGGGTGGACGGTGATGTGACCGGATACTACCATGTTACATAGTCGGGGGGATAACATGTTGGGTCGACAGACAGTGTGGCCTCTCGTTTGTTGTTAAAGCCTGATGAAAACGCTTGTTTGTAAGTACTTTTATCCCTTGTTTTATTTATTGTAATAAACGATTTTACACACGGAGGTGGCGCTCTGTTCCCTTTTGTTTTCTTCCCAGCTGGAGCCCAGAACACTAGCCAGCACCCTCCCCATAAGTGCTGTGCACAGGTGTGCAATTAGGTGTTGGCCACTATTAAACAATGGACCCAGGAATGGAGATTTCATCCCTCCCAATTCTCTTTGAAATCTCCCAGTTTCAGGATCCCATGCCAAATCCAGGTTTTCTAGGGAGATAACTGCAAAGCCAGTTCTTTCCCAGCAAAATAATTTGTTTCCTGGAACTGCTCAGCCCCTCTGGCTGAGAGTCCTGCGTGACTACAACCCCCGGTTCTACCGTGGGATTGCCACACAACACCACACTATATATACAGCGCTGAAGAGCTCGATGCCCGGCACCTGCCGGTACAGCCATGGAGAGCTTCACATACAGCATTGATGAGACCCCCAACGCAGCCCTGGTGAGCCCAGCAATAGCCAGTACAGCCCTATTGAGCCCCACATGCAGCCCTGGTGAGATGTGAATGCAGACCTGGAGAGCCCCACATGTAGCCCTGATTGCTGGTTGCCATTCTACATTGCTGAATAATCATGGAATGAGTTACAGTTGTTCATAATTATAAAGAAACTGCCCTACAATCATTAGTCTGTATTGTTGTAGAAAAAATGTCACATGTCCCTTTAAGAAAAAGTATCAGTAATTGGTATTGGCCAGTACCTGAGGGAAAGTACTTCCTGGTCTTGAAAAAGTGGTGTGTGTGTGTGGTATGTGTGTGTGTGTACATACAGTAATATAATGTACACCCTGAGAGGAATTGTTTACATTTCTATAATATGGTATCTCCAGTAAACCATGGCACTAAAGGCCATGCATTTTATCAAATTTGAAAGAGAGAACCCCATGCTTGGTTTTTTTCTATACTTTTGAGTTTTTGAATGTGGAACTTTTTTATGTACTTCAGTATTTGTTTTCTCCCAAGTAATAGAAATAATGAATAATAATAAAAAAAGAGTAATACACATCTGAAGTGTTGTAACATATATTGACAAATAAACATTAACAAATAACAAGAATAATAAATATAAATAGAGGGTAAAATTCATTTTTTTTAATATACAGTATATACTTTACTTTTCTTTTATCCACTGTGTGCCCATTTCATAGGCAAATGCTGGTGGAAGTTCCACATCACTCATTAATATTAAACTGGTCAGAAACAACTTCCTGACATCTGTATTCTAAATAAGCAATTCACTGGAACCATTGCTGTGAATAAATAGCTCCATTTTCGTACAGGAAAAAGTGACATGGACAAAACAGTTTGCCAAGAAACATCAAATTTCCACTGGCCGAGTGAAAAGCATGCGGCTGTATACACTGTTGTTGTAAGACACATTAGGCCCTGTTTTCCTTAATTCCTATTAGAAGTCCTGAAGCAGCCAGTGCGCTATCGTGATTATCTTACGACTTTCCATTCCAGGAATATCAAGTCTGCATAAAGTACGAGCCAGTACGTCAGAAACTTCACTGGCAGCTTCCTGTGTCTGAGTCATCTGAGAGAGAGGAAACAAGTAACATTATCCTCAAATGCCTTTTAGTATTCCACAAACAAATATGCAATACATTTTTCCAAATGCTAATAAGCTGCACTATGACCACAAAACAAACAACTTTCATGTTTTCAATTATTCCCTGCAATGTAAAAGTCGACTCCCTGCAATCTGATCAGACTCTGACCTTCGCTTTGGGTCTTGCCATGTTCAAAAATCAAAGGCTTTGCAACTAAACAAGGAGATAAATATAGCAAAAAGGAAAATAAATATTCCCAAGAATGCATTCACATATGAGCCGTGTACTTTTTGCGTGCTGAAAATGACAACATTTAAGAACTTACAATAACCCCTTTTACCTAACTATATTGCATTTTCGATGGCAAAGTTTTTACTTACCGTTTAAAAACAAATAACCAGTATCCATTTCATATTCTATATACCAGCTGATTCACATAGTGTACTTACAAGAGCTAAAGGGACTTACCCAGGTGTGGCTTTTGTGATTTTAAAGTAGAACTATGGCCTCCTATTTAAAAATATGTGCTGCAGCACTTGATTATAAGTCCATGTGCACGTAACATTTCTTTTTTCCCTGCATGTACCACAAATACCTTGTTGCGCTTGTGATAGGGTGGCAACAATGCTGAATTCAAAGTATGATCAGGTTATTTCAAGAAGTGAACAATTACTTTCTTGCACAAATCTCGAATAGCGAGATATTCAATCAATATGATTACAGACCTGATTTACTGGTATTGTTCAAAGTGACACTGTAGAGGGGAATTCTGCCACCTCGTGTGGGCTTTGCAGTAGGTATCCTACAACCCCAATTCCAAAAAAGTTGGGATGCAGTGTAAAATCTACATAAAAACCGAATGCAATGATTTACAAATCTCATAAACCCATATTTTATTCACAATAGAAAATAGGAAACATATCAAATGTTTAAACTGAAAATATGGACCATTTTAAGAAAAAATAAGGTCATTTTGAAATTGATGGCAGCAACATGTCTCACAAAAGTTGGGACATGGCAACAAAAAGCTGGCAAAGTAGGTGGTACTAACAAGGAAGTGCTGGAAGAGCATTTTGCAACCAATAAGATTAATTGGCAACAAGTCGGTAACATGATTGGGTATAAAAAGGAGCATCTTAGAGAGAAACATGATTCACCTCCAGGAAATTATCTTCTCAGTTCCCAGACATTTATGAGTGTTGTGAAAAGAAGAGATGATGCTACACCGTGGTAAGCATGGCCCTGTCCCAACTTTTTTGAGATGTGTTGCTGCCATCAATTTCAACATTACCTTATTTTTTCCTAAAATGGTACAATTCTCTCATTTTAAACATTTGGTATGTTTTCTATTTTCTATTTAATAAAATATGGGTTTATGAGATTTGCAAATCATTGCATTCTGGTTTCATGAAAATTTTACAGTGTCCCAACTTTTTTGGGGGAATTGGGGTTGTATTTTAATGGTATTTTTATCATTTGTTTATGTTTAATAAAGCAGCCTATTAGGGGGACACGGCTTGTATAAATTTTTTATAATTTTGTTGGTGCAATACTGCAGACTCCGGATTGACACAGGGTAGTAGGCAATCTAAATTAGTCTTTCAGTGATCTGACCTCTGTAAAAAGAAATCTGATTGGTTGAATGTTACATAACCAACCTTTACCAGTGGATCAACATATTAGCCAGGCATCTAGCATTTAAAAAAAAAAAGATGTTAGCAATAGCTTTCTATTTAACATGTTAATATGTGTGCATATGGATTTTTAGCCAAATCATTCTGCAAAAATAGTATACTACAATCTTGTTTTTCTTTTACTGATCAAAGGTAAACTTTAAGGACACTGTACAGCAGTCCCTATAGCCCCTAAATGTGCACTAGATCTGTAGGAGCGGGTGCCTGACATATAAGTATAAAACAATAACTGTAAATGAAACTGACAATATAGAACAAAAGTGTAATATTTGCAAATATTAGATCAGGGAGAACTCTGATATTAGGGAGCAAAGCCATGTATCTCTATCAGGACTGACAAGTCAGTAATGGAAAAGATCAACCACAGTGAGTCCACAGACAATACAAGTGACTAGTCCTTTGTCCTCTGCCTGCCTTTTTTTGGCCCAGCTTTTACAGTGCAGGTCTTCTTTAAGTGTTTCATTTTAGGAGTTAATTATTAGGTTTGTTAAAGGGTTACAGTTTGGGATTTGGGTTAATTTTAGGATTAAGAGACTGGAGTGTTAAAGGTTGCAATTAGGTTAGAAGTCAGGGTATAAGTTGGGAACCTTTTTGTAAACTACTCTACAGCACAGAAACAGCTTTGCTGATGTTCTGTCCCCATAGACCAATGTAGCGCAGCTAAGCACAACACAGATTTGTCCTAATTAATCCCGTGGAGCAGAAAAACCTCACCATCATCACGTTATCTCTGTCTCAGCAGCAATAAATAAGACTGGCTGCTCCAGTGAGAAACTTATTTTACAGCTTTAGAAAAGCACATGGATGGAGGCGATATTGATAAAAATGGATCCCTACAATGTAATTAATCTTGTTTCCCCCTTACAGCTTCTAGTTTTGGCACACTTGTATTGCATTTAAGCAACACTATGTAAGTTGACATCATTTTGATACATATTACGTCTTTAACACTTACTAAGGCAATACACTGTTTGATGATGCTATGCCACTCAGGAGAATATAGAAGGAAAGTTACACAAAGATGTCTGATCAGCTGCAGAGAACACACGTGCCATTGGTCTGAATTACTTTCCACTTGGAATATTTGTTTCAAAGATGTAAGACAAACTGTTGAATTTCTGAAGAGTGATAATAAACTTCCACATGTGGATTTTGCCTCCGCCTAGAAAATACAACATAAGACAATTAGGGAAACATCAGCAGATTTAAATACATGTAGAACACATTTGAACAAGCATTTCAAAGTGGTGTTTTTGGGTCACATGCATCCCTCTTTTTTTTTTTTTTTGCAGACCTCAGTTAAATAAATAAATAATAATAAATAGTTAAATAATTTAAATTGAATGAGGTCCCAGTTGTTCTCCAGGTTATAAAAGCTACACTTACAAAATTGTGCAGCTTGGAACTTAAGGAAATATTTTAGGGTCCCTTTCTTTCGGCTAAAATGTAAGTGGCTTTTTTTGCTATAATGTTAGACTGTATAGATGAGTGGATAATAGTTTTAACTAGGGATGCACCGAAATTAAATTTTTAGACTGAAACCAAAAATTACTTTTTTTTCCCCAACATTTTTAAAATTATTTTTTTTCTACTTTACTTTTGGGGGCTTTGGGGAAATATCAGGGGTCTAGGCAGACCCCTGATATTTCCCTTTGAAAATAGAAAAAAAGACTGAGGACACAGTCCTTAATCTTTTTTTTGCAGCCAATGCTATGAATGTACAGGAAGACTCTATACTGACTTGCTCCTGTCCATTCATAAACTGTGGAGATAGTATGAGTTACTATGTCCATAAAAATGAATGAACAGCAAGTGATGTAGAGCCCTTCATAACTGGAGATACAGTAAGCACCTGACACCTTTTTGAGAAAGTCTCTACGACGAAACGCGTAAAAGGAGTGTGTCGTTTCCCCGCTGACACCCTGGAAAGAGGCTAGCTATAAGTTGCTTATGCTGTTGTACCTTTGTAAGTCTGTAAGTGCAATCATTTTTAAACTACTTGATAAATAAAACATTTTACATCTGCACTTAAATCCTGTCTTCTCTCCTTCGGTCGGTCTCCCCCTCGGCTTTCTGGTTGATCCCTCCGGAGTGTTCTCCAGCCTTGGAGGTTGTTTAATTATCGCCGATGAGAGGAAGTGTAGCCTGACGGCAGGAGAGGACAGAGAAACTTACAGAGAAGGTTTCCTTTTTCTATTTTGCGGACGCATCAATGGAAGTATAAACAAAAGACACTGGATTTCTAATAACATTCGGTAGAAAATAGACTATTGGTGTTACAACCCTCGCTTATACAATTTTATATTTATCCACCTATATTTATTCACTTTATACCATTAGATGTGGTTTTAGATGTGTTAGATTGGTTATACATCAGTCTTCCTTTAAATTATTGTCCTTTTTATTTATTGTTGCCGATTGCCAGACTGATTAATTTACCTGGTATATAATTCAACCATTTAGTATCCACATTGTATTTTCACTTTATGGCACACATATGCATTATTCATTAACTTATTTAACTTATCATATTTAACCAATCAGTTTTATATTCGTACCATCACCATATTTATAGGACACGTGTATTTATTAACGTTCATGCACATATGCACCTTTGGATTGCATTTAGTTGCAAGTAGGATTTGATCACTTATATTGGTTTCGTTTGTGGTATAAATATAGCACGTATCACAATACCAAGCGCAGCACACTGGTTCACAGTAAGCATACTAAGTCCTCAGTTATTTACAAACATTCTGCGATCAGTCCTGATCGCTGAGTGCTTGTAACCCGCTCTCCATCCTGACTCGCCTGTCACAGGTGGCTGACCAGGGTGGTGGCGGTGAGAAGAGCTCAGCCTCCTGTGACAGCTCACTCCTCCAGCACCACCGCGCTCTGCCTCCTGACAACTTCTGTCCTCCCCATACCGACCTGCTCGGCCTCCTGACAGCTTCTCTCTTCCCCACACCATTCTCTGAGGCCAGTTGCTGGTGCCCGCTGGGCACCAGCAACTGGATCCTCTATATCTCCTCAGATCCCCACTGTCTCTGTTGACACAGGAGGGGGAGAGAAGCGGGCATCGGAGAGGACACAGACCGGCATCCAGCAGGGAGGAGAGAAGCTAGGGGTGCACTGAATTTTCGGCTGCATTTTCGGACATTATGGTACTCATGTCTACTTTAAAAATCACTGACAGGAAAAGATGTCGTCTGACACTGCCCATAGCGATACAGAAGTTAGAGCGCACAGATGTCTCCAATAAGTTTTGTAATGAGGGATTAGTGACAGCTGAAATCCATGTTAGGAAGTCAGCAGACCATTCACTTTCAGGAGAAGCTGGATTTAGGCACTGGGACACTCAGCTTGACACTAAAACTTTGAAAAAGCAAAAATTAAATACCCTGAGTTTCTTTGGTCTCTATTATTAAGCTGTCAGGGCCTTTAGCCAACAACTGAATCATTAATTGGGAAAAAAGAAATGGGAAACTCCATGAATAACGTATTTCTATATTGTCACTATTATAGAACACATTTTAGCAGACATCACAAGAATAAGCCCTGTTTACCATTATTCAGTAGGATTTGTAAATGATCTGTTGTAATTACAGGATAACAACAGATTGCTGGAATGAAAATCCCACAATCTGATTTCAGAACTGCATGTTGTTAATCAGAGGAAAAATCCCAGTAATCAAGGTCAAGTAGAATAATATATACATAAAAATAGTTGTGAAGTAAGGTCCCTGCTTGCCTTAGAAGTATTACATCTGTATCACTCTGAAGACAGAGCAAAGTGAGGATACTATTTCTGAGCTATCCAAAACTGAGAAAGATGTACACATTGCGGTTCATAAAAGAGCCACTCAACAGACAACTTCACCTCTGTTTTGCTGTATTAAGTGGCAATATAAATAAGACTTTTTTTAAATTCCAAACGGATGTTTCTTCACTTATAACTTTGAGAGTTATTTTTAACAGATTACAGAATTGTCCATATCTCTGAAAACCTACAATCATCAAATCAACAATAAGTACAGGGTCCATTTAAAGTATACCTCTCCCTTCTGCACATCAGATACCCTTCACCTGAACTCCAGCCCCATGACCCTTGGGTTGGAACATGCAAGAACCTGAAGGCCCCTTTTACACGGGCATTCTGATTAGGCCCACCTGTCAGTTTTTTCAGGCGGATCTGATCGGAAGCCCAGTGTTAGTCTATGGGCAGCCGGATCTAAACAGACATGCGTCCGTTTACATCCAATTACCCCCACTCGGACCAGGTCTGGAAAACCAAATGAAACAGAGCTCTGTTTTGGCAGACCTGATCATGGCGTTTTGGGGGTAATCTAATTACATCAAAACACCTATAGGAAAAAACTGGACAGATACAGATGTCACAGAGACACCTGTTCCAAACTGCTCCGATCAGCAAGAGATCTACGCATAAATGGCATGCCAAATATATGGAAAGTCTGTATTTATGTGGAATTGTGGAGGTAGTGCAGCAGTGTTTCAAGAGGATTGCAGCATATGGTGGTGCCTGCACCCAGGTTCTGAGCTCAGTTTTACAACAAGGCGAGTTTCACATTCACTTCCTCTGTGCTTATTTATCTAGTAAGTGCAATAATGACATGCACAATGCAGGAAACCCAAGCAATCAATCAGATTTCAGTTCAATGTAAGTCAAATTACTGAAAGAAGAATTATCTGTTATGAGTTCTGACACTTTGTATTTTCCTATTTGCATTATTGAAAACACCTGTCAGAGTTATAATCTGCTATTTGCTGCCTAATCTTTATGTACTGATGGTGGTGGTGAGGAGAGCCTGGAATCCAGCAGGAGGGGCCACCAAAAACATTTCAAATAAGTGCTACTGGACACTGCACATCATTGTTCATTGTATTGTGTGATCACATAAAGCCCAGTGGAGGAACGAATGAAAGACAAAATGTCACACTGTACCAAGTGCCTTGTTCTAACTTTTATAAGCAATGGCCATTTTCTTGGGCTTGTTGTAATACTATATATATTTAAAGCTGAACTGCAACTTAGGTTTTCTTACAAGCACCTTATTCAGACATGTATCCTGGCTGTGTAGTCCTGAATTAAATCTGGCCACATGCCCTCAGCATTGCGAGGGTACCTTGCCGACACACACACACACTGCCCATCAAGGCTCCTGATTATCATGTTGATGGAGATAAGAGCCTCATTCCCACATCCTTAGCTTGTTGGATGTGAGGGAAAATCTAACGGTTTGTTTAATTGTAAGGACCTATTTGCAGTTGTACGTGTGTTGCACCAAAATGCACAAAAAAGGATTACACTATAAACCAATCATCGGGAAACTGAGAATTGCTTCTTTGAAAATTATCTTATTTAGAGCTAGTTTAAACCCCACTTATACTCTGGGATCTGAAACAACATGGTGTAAATATATCTCATCCAGAGACTTTGGAAAAACAGGATATATGCATATAGTGTTATTTGTTCCCTGTATAAATGCAGCTTTTATTTCTTGTGCGGTCTCCTGAAAGAATGCAAATACAAGTGGTTTCCCAAATACTTACTGAAAATTAAGAGACATCTTCCTGGGTGGTCAGAACATTTCACAGAGTGAAATAAGTTGAGTGATGGAATGAGTATACTACTTGTATCATTTCTGACACTCTTCCAATATGTATTGAAGGTTTGCAGATCAAAATATGAAAGAAATTATTTCAGAAGTGTTTCTTCGCTTGGGTCAAAATACCTGCATTTTGGTACCTTATAAACACTGGAAGATCTTCCTCACTCTATGAAACTTTGTGTCTGGTAATGGGAGGAAGCAACCAACGTAATGTTTTTGGTCAAAACTTCAATGCACATTGGCTGAAAACAGAAGCTGATGGGATGTAAACTACAGCAAAGGGATCAACAGACAGATGACATATTGTTCTTGCTGATGTGTCTCTAAAAAGGTAAATGCCCTCAAAGGAGTTTATAATACAATGTTTCTACTTCTCTCCTACTAGCACAAACTAGCAATGTTTCTTCTTCTATCCTACTAGCAAATACAAAGGAGAATTTGCTCAGATATTTAAAAAACCTGCCAGTATGTTTCTAAGTTTTGGGAAGACACTGGTGCACCTGGAGCAAACCCACACAAACATTGAAAGAACACACAAACTCTATGCAGACTGTATCCTTAATGGGATTTGAACCCAGGAACCATTAGGACAGGGCATGTATGATAACCATGTAGACATTGTGCCTAAACCACTTTTAAAAAAGCAGATTTGCTTAATCAACTATAATGTGGCTTATGAACTTTCAATACCTGAACTGTGAAACAGAAGAGAGTCTGCACATACCAAAGGCCAAAAAACATATTCCAAAGTTATTCTTTGTGTGCTTGCCAGTGGTAGGCAACCAGGAAATTAAGATTTCAGCCCTTCCTAGAGTCCTAAGCTGGATTTTACCATCACTACTTATTTTGATGGACGACAAAAGTGTTAGAGTGCCTCATCAAATCATTTGTGAATTCCGACATGGGAAATATCTTCCTATACAAGCCCTGAGAATATATATTTTGTCTGATTATATAGATACAAATAATATATGGTAACATGAGTGCTACACAAGTGGTATAGACTGATGTAGGTATCTAATCTAGGGCTTTAATGTATACAAAGTGGCAACATTAATCTGAAGTAAGGATCTTTTGGAACTGTTCGTACATATTACATATACCGTATTTTGCGGTCTATAAGACGCTCCGGACGATAGGACGCATGGCTTCTGTGACAGAAATTCTATGACAGAAATTCTGTCACAGAAGCTGCAGTGAGTGACTGCTGAGACAGGTGGCGCTGTCTCAGTAATCACATGGAGCAGACGAAGAATGTCGTTCGCCGCCGCCACTCGATTTAATACAAGGGATCTACTTAGATCCCTTGTATTAAACGAACAGCGGCTCCCACTGTACATTCAGCTCTGCTTGTCAGGAGCAGGGCTGAATGTACAAAAAGAAACTACTCGCCCGGCGCCCGAAACTGCATTTCCCGGGTGTCGGGCGATAGGTATTCGCTCCATAAGACGCAGGCACATTTCCCCCCTCCTTTTGGGGGAAAAAAAGTGCGTCTTATGGAGCGAAAAATACGGTATGTCATGGTGGTTGTTCCACCTAAATAGAATTTAAATTGAAAATTTTTTTTTTATGTACAATACATTTTTTTTCTAATGTGAATTAATATTGATGCCTCATTTGAAGCCTCATTTGAAACCTCATTCTCTCCAATATCGTTTACCTAATAATTTTAAGGGGGAGAGGTGTATATTGAGTTCACCTCGTGCTCAACCCCCTGATTTAGGGTTAACACTAGTTCCCAAATTTGTGAATTTCGACAAGCATCTTGTGGGTCTGTATCGTAACTGGAAGCATTACTTTTAATGAAGATAAGTTGGAATGGAGTGGCTGAGTAAGAGTTCACATTAGGGATGCACAGGTACTTTTCAAGTACCAGTGCCGATACTTGGCATTTTCATGAGAACTACCAGGGTTGCTCTGGCACTCCACCCTTGTCCTGAAATCATTGGTCTGTATTGTTTTAGAAAAACTGTCACATGACAATAAACAACTCGTACTTGTAAGTACTCGGCAAGTACCAGTACTCGTACTCGCAAAACTGGTATCTGTGCATCACTTGTATATATTTATAAAAACAAAATCGTACATTAAAACAGAGATGTACAAATCCCAGGAGCTCTGTGTGCTCCTTACAAATGACAGCTGCCTCCTAATTTTCGAATTTTTAGTCTTGGAGTCTTTGTAGTCTTGGAGCTCAAAAGTATCGGTACATGTACTCGTACTTGCACCGAGTACTGTACTTGGTATCTGTGCAACCCTAGTTCACATATATAATAAAATGAGTGTTCTGCAACCCACCAGTCACTGTAATGCACTGTAATAAAGTGTGTGTAGTGGCAATGCCAACAGTCTACTATCTAACACGAGAGTCAAGTCACTTTTTAGCACAGCAACACTGTGTCAATAGCCTGTGATGTGAGGCAAGTCATTTCCCTTTATAAGGCCTGGTTCACACCTGTACGTTTTGTAGCGCGTTCAACGCTCTACAAAACGCTCAAACATGAAAATCCCATTGTTTTCTATGGGTATGGTTCACACCTTGCCATATTTCAGCCCGTCTGAACGTGCTACAAAACGGCCTACGCCTGAAAAGGTACATGAGCTTCTTTGCGGCATTTTTGTCGCGCGTTTCCATTGGCATACAGCCAAGTAGCCCTCAGAAACCTAGGTGTGAACAGAGCCAACAATACCAGAAGCCCTGAAAGGATGCCTGTCCCAGGGCACATGCTGCCTTTCAGTGCTGTTGTTTGCAGCTGACATTAAACTTGTTTCTTAAGAGCATTAAATATAACTGAAAAAATCTAAAATGACATTACATTTTGAAAGCAGGCATAAGAGTCAGTGGGTATTTGTATCAGTTAATTCAAACAGATTGCACAATTCTTGTTTTTAACATATTTTGCTGTAGACTCACGCTTTTTATTTACAACCCACCATTGTTCTATCCCTGCTTTGGTCCTCATTGTATGGATTGTAGTAAAATGCCAAAAGCCACAGCAGGTCGTCTGAAACTTCCAAATCTGATGTCAACAGCTGTTCTGCCGCAATGTCTACCCATTCCCCAAAGTGGATAAGCAGATACCAGTATTTAAAGACACAGTCAGGAGTCCTGGGGAAAAAAAAGATAATAAATGATTGCAGTATATTAGGGGAAATAATCCCAACAGCATTCCAATTACCACAGTGCACATTTACAATTTTCTGGAAATCTAAATCAAGTTCAGCAAGAAGGATGTTCGGGGGAGGGGAAGGGCAGGGTTTCTAAAAGGCTGTAAAATGATCCTTTACTTATCAAATATGTTTAGTATCTACAAACCATGCAAATAAATAATTTTTTTGTAAAATAGTAGGACATATGTGCCATATTATATAGTGACCCTACCCCAACCTGGTATTTCTGTTTTGTGTGGTTGTTGGAAAACTGCATGTAGAATTGGAACCCCATATCTTAAAGAGACTCTAGGCATAAGATATCATCACCAAAAATAGAAGCTCTGTACAACTGTACAACTGCACCAATTAGCCATATTAAACAAAATGGCAACTGCTCGAATCAGTTAATAATCAGTAAAAGGAAAGGTGCACATGTGCAAGGCAATTCACAGAACAATACAAAAATAAAGAAGGAAGTGGCTACTTTCTAAGGCATTCCTACCCTCAGTGTATACACTGGTTTACATATGTGCCAGAATCAGATGAGTTAGGGTCTATTCACATCGGCCTATGCACATCATAGCAGCTGGTGTGCGGTGCCTGGCATGGTGCTGATGCGCCAATCCTGGCACATCCCATTGGACTTTATTGAAACATCACAAGTGACAGTTCATTAATTCTATGGGCACTGCATGGTGCGCAGGGGTGGTGTAAACTGTGTCCAACCGTGACAAGGCAAATTGGAAAGAACAGCCAGAGCAGCCCCAATGCGCCCTTAGTGGATGCAGATGTACCTTATTGCAGCAGTGTGAGCTTCACATGTATTTGACAATGTATGCAACAAAAACCTCTGTTTTTACACTAACAGTTTAAAAAAAGATTAAAAGGTTTTTGTGCTGAGTAGCTGAAAAATATTCTGGGATTTTTTTATTTTTCTTTAGCCCAATGCTACCTACTAATGTATTCCCTTAAATGCTGAATGCAGCTGCAAAAAAAAGTGACATTAATGAGGGGGTCATGATTTATCAATATATCAAAGCAAATTATATAAGCTGCAATATCCTTTTTATGTCCCTGAAGCAAACATGATTAAAGAATAGATTAAAATAGGTTTAATCCCAAACTGAGAAAGGGGTTCTTTACTGTTAGAGCATTGAAAATGTGGGACTTTCTTCCCTCGGAAGTGGTATTAGCGGAGAATGTGGATAAATGAAAAACAAAAACTTTAGATATCTTTCTCCGTCAGCATAATATAATTCTCAAATTCAATAGAAGGTTGATCCAGGGATTTGTCTGATCACCAGTATGTAGTTGGGGGAATTTTTACAACAAATTGGCCTATGCTTGTAGGGGTTGTTTTTTTAAAACACATAAAACACACACACATACAGAGGTTTAATATTGATGGACCTGTGTTTTTATTTAACCTATATACTTTGTACTGTAACTATATGCATTACTAAATAGTTTGCACTTAACCAGTCAACTACAAGCTTAAAACAAAGTGTAGTAACCATGCAGTAACTGGCAGTAATGCATAGGAATTAACCAATCAGGGTATTGTTGTCAAATAGGTACAGAATGAAAGTTGATGTGTTGCTCTGGATTACCACATCTTGTATGTAAGCACTGTTCTCTGATCCGACTTATAATGCAGGCTCAATAATAAGTAATATGTACATGTGCAATTGATTCACAGATGACAAGTTAGTAGGGACTCTGCCATCTGATCGGTCCTGTGATTTCAGGAAATGTATCTCCAGATAGCAAGGCAACTGCTTATGGGCACTGGAAAGCTTTGCACACTCCCGCCCAGGACTGACTTGGTGTAAAATGGATTGACAGGGCTGGATTTTCACAGTTGATCACTATAATTTTTAGAAGGCTAGGCAGAAGCCTAAAGTGTCTGTTCAATACATAGCATTGTCTGTAAAATACAAAAGCATTCATATTCTGCCAAAACAAACATATGTTTCTGCAATGGTAATTCAAAGGAACAAACATTCAGGAGTTAAAGTAGACCTTCACTAAGTGTAGTCTTAAAAGTTCTTTTCAATCTTTTTAAATCTGCAGGATATGGTGTTCACATCATGAAGGTTCTTGTGGAGACTTCCTTTTATGGGGTGACAACTGTCTTCCATTGTCCCCTTGTCAAAGGCAACTCTGCCGCAGAGACCACAAGCAGCTGTGTCAACACACACTGCGCAAGTATGGTCCATCATTGTCTCCATCAAGAGTGGCTGAAAATGGCTGCAGGAGATTTACACCACTGACATACAAAAAAAGTGAGAACAGTAGTTTATAAAAAAATATATGAATTGTCTATGATACTTGTGTGCTTTAGCAAATATAATGTCATTCACTTAGGCTTTAGATCTACCTTAATCTTCCAACCACTATCTAATTACTATGGGCAATGAAACGGAAGCCCCTTGAGTTCCTTCTCAAAATGTTTTTAGCCTCTTAAATTTTCCGAATTCCGTTTTTTACATTTTGGAACAAACTGTGATTACCTCTTTTCCCTGTCCATATTCCTGAGGATTTTAACAACAGTGCACAAATGTTGAACACAGGCATCAGACGTTAACCCTGGAATAAAAGAAGAGGAGATGCTAATAAATACTTCATCAAAACAATTTTCTTTATTGATAACTTAAAGGAGAACTATGAGGAGTGTGACTTTCACGTGTGACAATTAAACTGTCGGCTCAATAGAACGGGAAGTGAGCGAACACATACCGCGGCTCCCTCACTTCTCGATCATCTCCCTGCAGAGAGATGTGACTGTCACACATGGCTCTCTGCAGGGATTTACCCCTCCCCTAAAATCACTGTAATTAAAGCACATCTTAAGCCTAAACTTTTTTTTTTTATTTCGGAAAGAGTATGAAATGGATAAAACCCCAGTCAGTTGTTTTTTTGCTGTGTCCCACTGAAAAGACTTCACTTCCTGTGCTGTTGACACAACACGAAGTGAAAGGAAATATCTCCAAATTAAGGGAAATGTGTCCTAGTGGTCACCAGAACAAGTGCCCCTATTTGAAAATTTCCCCTCTATTTCTGACTCAAGGTTTTGGATCTATCCTCACTTTTAGTTCCAGTGACACTGGTCACTGAAACA